AAAAAGATGTTCTCCCCATGGGAAGGTCCATACAGAATAGTAGAGGTCATAGGGAAGGGGGCGTACGTCCTAGAAACTATGGCAGGAAGGGTGGTCAATAAGCCATGGAATGCTACGTCTCTGAAAAGGTACTACCAGTAGAAGTAGAGTTTAATTTCGAGTAATATGCACGCTTTAAATTGCATACTTGCAAGGGTACGAAATTCCCAGGTTTTATAGAAAGTCTCTTCTTTGCTCAAAAAATTAATTGACACCCTTCCCATTCAGCAAAGTTAGTGGCAGCTGGCACTTTAAGCCGAACGCCAAACACTTGCTCAAAAATAAAAATAAAGCCAAGTGGCAAGAGGCATTCAAGCCGAGCGCCAGGCATTCAGCAAAGTTAGTGGCAGCTGACACTTTGAGCCGAACGCCAAACACTTGCTCAAAAATAAAAATAAAGCCAAGTGGCAAGAGGCATTCAAGCCGAGCGCTAGGCATTCAGCAAAGTTAGTGGTAGCTGGCACTTTAAGCCAAACGCGAAACACTTGCTCAAAAAAAACAAAAAACAAAAAAAAAAAGAAAGCCAAGTGGCAAGAGGCGTTCAAGCCGAGCACCAGGCATTCAGCAAAGTTAGTGGCAGCTGGCACTTTAAGCCAAACGCCAAACACTTGCTCAAAAAATAAAAATAAAGCCGAGTGGCAAGAGGCGTTCAAGCCGAGCGCCAAGCATTCAGCAAAGTTAGTGGCAGCTGGCACTTCGAGCCGAACGCCAAACACTTGCTCAAAATAAAGTAAAACCGCTCAAAATAAAATAAAATAATTCCAGAACGGTGACGAGGCCGAACACCAAATACTTGTGAAGATACACAGCAAAGCTAAAAATGGAAAACTTGAAGAATGGAAGTCATGCTGAGCAAAAGCATTATCATTCATTACAAAAAGGTCCTGAGGTACATAGCTTGATACATAAAAAAAAACTGCTACAGGATGTCAGTTCTGATGATCTTCTCCAGGTTGTGACCTGTCGTTTTCCCCACCATCATCCTCTGGACCATGGAGGTCTTCTCCATTCTCAGCTGCCCTATCATCCTTAGGAGGGGAGTCAAGATGAATCACTCCCTCAGCAGGCATAGGTCTGTCAGTAACAACTGAGGAAGAGGGCACAATGGTAGAAAGTTGAAGAATATTCAGGGGATGAAAGGGTGGAACAATTCCTGAGGATGCAACCTCTATGCACTCGATGAAGATATTCTCAGCCGGGTCGCAGGGTGGGTTTTGATAATTATTTGGGGGGTAGATATCCAGAGAAGCATCTAATTCATCCGGACCAGCACAGGAGCTTGATTCGCCTTCAGGGGGCGAACGGTCAATATAACCGTCTCTGTACCCTTCAGCATACCGGATGGCACTGGTTCTCGTGAAGCGAGCAAGGAGAGCTTTCATACCCCCTTCAACTTTGCCAATCATGTTCAGCAAGGAAGACCGTTCGTTTAAGAGCTTCTCCTGTGAGTTCGCATGAGATAACCGTTCAGCAATGAGTGAGCGCTGAAGGTCTCCCTTCTCAGCTTTGAGAGAGTCCCTTTCTGTCAGAGCGACGCTCTTCTCAGTTTTCAAGACATCAACCTCATCCTGAAGAGAATCCCGTTCGGTCTTCAGGGTATCCCGTTCAGCTCTGAGGGAATCCCTCTTATTTGCCAGACCGTCTTTCTCTGCCTTTAAGTCAGCAACCCCCTTCTCTGACTCGCTCAGCTTAGACTCCAGCTCAGCAACCTTGGCCTTAAGGAGGCTCTTTGCTTCAACAAACCGTTTAAGGCCCACAGAGAGGGATTTAAGCTTTTTATTCAAAGTCTCAATGGTTTTTTGGAAAGTGAACATCCCAAATAGAGTCTGCATAAAGGAAGGGAAATTCAGGTCAGACTAGTTACTAAAAAGTTATAGCAAAAGGGAAACGCATTTCAATAAAAGAAGAGTTACCTCCATAGCAGCAACTGGGAACCGCTGGAACATCTCACCAAAGGATAGCTTGTTCTGAATCTAAAGGTCCTTGGGGGTCCAGAAACCCTTGTAGAAAGCAAAGGAGGTGAGGGGGTCCTTATATATTGAGTCAGTGGGGCCAATGGTTGATCCATCTTCACGGCTGAGCAAAGGTCGCCATGGAAGAACAGATGGAGTCGGACCAGAGGTTCTGGCCAATTCGCCTTCTAGAATGAAGAACCGGGCAGGGGGCAATGGTTCAGTAACCCTGAAGGAAGCCATCCTGATCCTCCGGGCTGGTGGGATATCACTCCGGTCATGACCGCCCTCAGGCATTGGCCTTTGTCCTAAACTTTTTTCTGACAGACCAACATTAGCTGGCCCTCCATTGTCTTGAGAATTTTCAGCATCCTGAGTGCTCTCTGAGGAAGTATCAGACGAAATGTTGGAAGGCATAATGATGGGAGCAGCAGGACGTATCTCAGCAGTGTGGTCCACAATAGGGTTCTCAGCATGAGTGAGCTCAGAAGGCTCAACAGCAGAACGGTTTGTGACTTGAGTCACAGTTGGAACAATCACAACTTGCTCTGTGGCAGAGACAGCAAGGGAAGACAATGTGGAAGCAGGTGTAGATGATGATGTGATAGCAGGAGCGCTAGAAGGGGTGGGAGCAGAACGCCTCCTCCTGCTGAAAGATGGGATCTGAATGTTCTCTATTGTGGACCCTAAAAGAGAGATGTCAGATAGATTGTCAGATGTAAGCAAATCAGTAGCTGAAGGGACATTGTTCAGCACACTTTCTTGCAAGATGTCTAGCCTAGCCCTGCAGACACTATAAACCAGTTCATCATGGGGGATCTGAAGGCATCTACAAAGAAAAGTGCAAAAACGGGGAAGACAACTTTCGCAGTGGCATTCAGTAGGATGTGATTTCAGCTTTTTGTAGCCAGAGACAGAGCATGTACCAAAGGAAAACGGGATAGAGAAGGATTGGCCGAGCGAAGTCTGCCAATTCCCACTAACCATAATTAAGTTTCGTCTCCAACCTTTTTCAAATGAGTTCTTGTCAGTGCAGATCGACCGTTTGTCAATAGGAAAGAAGTGATAGTACAAATCATTTTGTGAAATCTTATTAATCCGATAGCAGAGGAGAAGGTCAATAATGTCAAGATTGAGACTCCTATCACGATTCAAGAGCAGGAGGACTGAAATTACCCTAAGAAAGTTTGGGTTAACTTGTAGGGGGCAGAGTCCAAATTTGTTGAAAGCATAACAAAAGAATGGGTGTAGGGGGAACCTAATGACGTTCAAGTGAACGGCGGAGAATAAAACTTCCCCAGGAAGGAGACCCTCACCAAATCTTCCGTCTAATTTTATTGGATAGACTCTGAGAGAAACATTGCGAGGAATGTAATCCTTGGATCGAATGGCGTTCAGATTAGGGGGAGCCATAGAGAAGGGGAAGAGTCCTAGGCAGTAAAGGCGTCTTTTTAAGGAGAGATGTAAAAGAAACTGACCTTGAAAGTTTGTGATGAATGTAGCAACGGCACAGTAGCTAAAAATCGAAAAGGAAAAGCTCGCCGGAGAAACTGAAAAGGATCGCCGGAATGTGCAGGAAGGCAGCAGAGAGTAGAAGCGAGATATAAGAAGAAGGGTGAAGGTTGAAAGACCGGAATTTATAAAGAGGAAAAGTAAAGGCAACATGGAACTCAAAAGGTCAAGACAAAAAGTGGCGCTGCAGATCTCGAAGCTTGGGTTTTTGTGCCAGCCGTTCGATTCCTCGTGTCATTGCTCCGAGCCGTCAGATCAAGATCGTGTCTTTTCAATAATCTCACCCTCATTAATGAGGAGAGAGATTATTGGGGGCAGATGAGGACACCAAAATGACCCAGGCTTGGTATGATCCGTATTGCAAAGGACTAGTCGGGTATGGACAGACAAGATGGAGCAAGTTCACGCGGGATGGACCCAGATCCATAAAGTCATTACAGAAGCCCATATTAAAATGAGAGAAGTTGAGTTCAGACAAAAGGGAGCAAATAAGGCCAAGGCCAAAGGAGGTTGTAACCGTCTATAAATAAGGGAAATCGAGAGGGAAAAAAGGTTAGAAAGCATTGAGAGTGAAGAAATTCTCTCTCTGTAATTGGGGGAAATTCTTTGTACTTTCAGAAACTCATCTCTGCTATTAAGTTTGAGTTTTTTCTTCTCCTCCAACCATGCATGTGACGGATCACGGTGTCCAATTTGGGTTCATATGTCGGCACATATCTTGTACCCATATGGCCATACCTATGTCATGCCATGTCGACACAAGTGTGTGAAGGGAAATAGAAGAGGCCATGTGTGAAGGGTATAGAAGATCCTTTGAAGGAGAGGAATCTTCAAGCAGTGTTCTGAAATCTTCTGTTATTAGCTCTCTCTGTTTTTGGGGTTCGGGTAGACTCTACTCTTCTGCTGAGAAGACTGTTGAGTTTTTGGCTTTCCTGGTGCCTTAGGGTACCCAGGTTTTTGTGGTTTTGTAGGGACGCGTTCCCCTTTTGAACGCTTTTTTAATGAATTGCTTATTTATCAAAAAATAAAAAAATAAATTAGAGAAAAGAGGAAAAAGAAAATGAAAAAAAGTTGCATTTCTGCAACTTGAATAGAATGGTTGAATGCCTCTCCATCTTCTTGTGTAAAACCAATCAAAAAACAAGAACTAAACCACAAAGCAAAAACAAAAAAAGAAGCTGATAGTTCGAAGAATTTAGGAGATATAACTGCAAAAGCAGAACTGATCCCACTTCTTCCCATTTGTTTCAAAGGACTTCCATTGAATGATAAATGTGGTCTTAGAAGAGAAGAAAAAAAAAAAAAAACAAAGCTTCTCTAATCCATGAAAATGGGTAGTGGAAGAGTGCTGGAGAAGTTGGCAAATATGAATAGTGTGTAATTATAGTTTATCCTTTTTTTCTTTTCAACTAAGGATCTAGTGAAATAGGGCATTTAGTGATTCAGTTAATATCATAAGGAGGGTCAGCATAACATAACGGTATAGAGTATACAAACCCTGATGCTGCTGCCACTTGAGTGCTTGACCAATTAGAGCCGTTAGTCGTGACGGTGGAACCACGGAAACTTCTGCAGCAAGAGCTGAATAATGCAATAGAAGAAATATACATTAAAAGAAAAACAAAGAGGCAACAAATAACCACATGTAACATACACACAATTACACATTTAATAGACAAAGAATGAATTAAGAATTATGCTGTTTTCAACCATTGTTAGGCATATTCTGATGTAGTACATGAATGAACAGGTATGAACAGTGCGTGTGAAAAGTACATGAAAAGCGCTGTGTTTCTAGTTTTTATTATCGTTTCAATTTCCTAATAGTTTAGTTTCTGTTTTAGGAAAGTTTTTCATTGTTTTTATTTCCTAACAGTTTATTGTCTGTTTTAGGAAAGTTTGCAGTGTTTTAATTTCTTAAAAAGTTTAAGGTTTGCTTAGGCCTATAAATGCACGCTATTGTAATAGTTTAGAGATCAATTATTACTTTTATCAATAACAGAATATCGAGAGTTTCTCTCAACCTCTTCTCATGGATTCGAGTGTTTAAAGAATACGTTGTTATTCTTAATTAGTTTAATTGCTTTCATTGATCCACTGTGTCAAGTTGGAATCAGAGCCATTTTCCATGGACGGTGATCAAAGAAAACGTGCGGTGACTATGGGAGAATTCCAACAATTGCGTCAGGAACTCAAACAGGAGATTCAAACGGCAGTTGAACTTCTAATTGAAGCCATGAATCGTGTGCATGTTCGTAATAGGCATGATCAGGACCAACCTGATGATGTGAATCAGTATCAACAAAGGGCTGGAAAATCAACGTGGTTATCTTCAACGTGCTAATAATCAACGCAAGTTTCAGCAAGAGGTTTGGTGTGATTCAAGCGATTAAAGGTATCGTTTTAGCACATTGAGATCACGTGGTCAAAACAAATCAGCGAGATTTTCGGATGAAAATTAACCTTCCGTCTTTTAATGGTCAACTTGATATCGAAGAGTTTCTGGACTGGCTTTCAAAAGTTGACAATTTTTTTTATTATATCGGTATCGCAAAGGAAAAGAAAGTTAAACTAGTCTCCTATCGTCTTAAGGGTGGTGCTTCTGCATGGTGGGATCAATTACAACGTTTTTTTTTTTTTTTTTTTTTTTTTGAAGGTTAAGCAAACTTACACACCCATGCCTCCGCCAAGGCTCAAACCCCCGACCTCCCTCCTTTGGGGAGGTGGGTTTGTACTTTGTACCAGCCGGGCTATTGTACCAGCTGGATCAGTTACAACGTTCACAGACGAAAAATCCGATTAGATCATGGTCTCAAATGAAACAACTAATGAAGTAGCGGTTTTTACATGTTAATTATGATTGAATTTTATTTCAAAAGTACCAAAATTGTCGCCAGGGAAATCGTTCAATTCGTGATTATGCTAAAGAATTTTATCATTTATCATCTCATAACGATTTTTTACACACAAAAGGACAAGAAGTTGCGCGATTCAATAACGGTTTGCGGCTGGCTATTCAGGACAGAGTGATGTTGCAAACGTCTTTCACCCTCAATGCCGCAGTTGAGTTGGCCACTCGAGTGGAAGCCCAGTTGGATCGACCGAATGTTCGTAATCAGAATTTTGGGCGTCCTCCTTCTACACAAACCGATTCCAATAAACTACCACCATCTCCAACCATCAATTAACGCCCAATCATGACTCGAAAAGTGGGTGTTGCAAATTCTTCTCCTAGTATATCTGATTCGACCAAGACTATTGCCAACAATATTTCTTTTGTTGAAGATAAGGTAGTTCCCAATGATACAAATGCTAATTTTCAGTGTAGTCAAACTTGAGGAACCAAACCTTAAAATTTGTACACGTCATATGGATAGCAAGGACGACAAAGATTATGTTATCAGGGATCCTTGATTTACAGGATTTCCGAATTGTAACTTTTGGGAGAATTATTAATGAAATTTTTATTTAATAGATTTTCATTCAGCGAATTATTTATTCTTTTTATTTTTTTTTGTACTTGGTGCTTGTTTAAATACTTTAATTGTTTTGATATCCCTTAATTTTGTGCGCGGACTTGATTAACCCGTGTTCCGAAATCAAGGAGTATCATAACAATCCACTTCCTCCATCTCTCACCAAAACCCATCATCTCCAACAGATAGAACAGGAAATTCCAGCAGACATGATCATAGGCTTTCTCAATATCCAGCTTGCACAGAACACCAGGAGTCCCACTACGAAGTCTAAAATCCACACATTCGCTAGCAATAAGAGCGGAATCCAGAATCTGTCTACCTCCAACGAAAGCATTCTGAGACTCAGAGATAACTCCATCCAGGACCTCCCTCAATCTAAAGGCAAGGACTTTTGCAATGATCTTGTAAATGCACCTAATCAGACTAATGGGTCTAAAATCCTTGATATTAGAGGCACCACCCTTTTTAGGAATAAGGGCAATAAAAGATGCGTTAAGCAATTTCTCAAATTGCCCCGTGGAATGGAACTCATGAAAAGTGCCCATAATCTTGTACCGAACCACCTCCCAGCTTTCCAACAAAAATCTCATCGTGAAACCATCAGGACCTGGGGCCGTATCACCATTGCAACTCTTTAAAGCTTTCAGCACTTCCTCCTCCGAAAAAGGATTTTCCAGCCCATCTCTCTCCAAGGCAGAAATAGAATCGAAGTGAAGACCATCTAAACGAGGTCTCCAACGAAGAGGCTCAGAATAAAGTCTTTGATAGAAAGAGACAATAGCACTTCGCACCTCCTCCTCTGAAGGCAAAACTGCACCATCCACACACATCCGCCCAATATGATTACTCCTCCTATTAGCATTAACAGTTCTGTGAAAAAACTTCGTATTTCAATCCCCCTCTTTGAGCCATAATGCCCGAGACTTCTGACGCCACGAGATTTCCTCCAAAAGAGCAATCTCCACACATTCTGCCTGGCAAGCTGCTCTTCTACTACGTTGAGATTCCGTAATAGCACCCTCCCCTTCCAATCTATCAATCTCCGCAATATCAGCCAAAGCCCTATTCTTCCTCCACACCAAGCTCCCAAACACCTCCTTATTCCACCTTTTAAGATTTGTTTTCAGGATTCGAAGCTTTCCTGCAAGAATATGGCTTGATGTACCCACCACCAGATTCTCCTCCCACCAAGAATGGACAAATTCCTGGAAGTTATCCGCACGAAGCCACATGTTCTCAAATCTGAAAGGAGTACTGCGAGATCTCAAACCTCCACAGTCCAAAACCAAGAGAATGTGATCCGACGTCACCCTAGCCAAAACTGCCTGAACAACATCCAGGAATTTCTCCTCCCATTCACCTGAAATCAAAAATCTATCAACGCCTACCATTCAACAAAGCGGTTGCCCCACAGACTTTTCACCACACGATCAGACATAGAATCAATCTTTGTTTCTTGAAGACACACCAAGTGCACCCCCCATTTCCTCACTGCCATCTTCACCACCCTTCGCTTGCCCGGATCGTTTAGACCGCGGACATTCCACGATAAAATTCGAAACTTCATAAGGAAACAATCATCCCCTTCACCCCCTACCCCTCCCTCCACCCTATCATAATTCACATTACAGCACAGATTTCTTAGCTCCCTTTCCCCTTTTCCCTAAGTCAGATTCTTCTTCTTCCTACTCCTCCTTCTGGAAAATTGAATCATCTCCCCTTCTCTCCCCTCTGCCGTGGCCTGAAGGATTGCTAAGGCCTGATCACGTTTTCCTTTGCCTGAGACACCCAACAGATCACTAGTAGCCCCAATGTTAGCCTTAACCCAATCCATTCCAGTGTCCTCACCTTCCTGCCTACACACCTTGCTGCCCATCTCCTCTGGATGAACTGCAGCCAAAGGGTCCACCACCCCCAAATTAGCAAAACCCTCCTCCCACAAAATCATATCCAGAGAACTCCCATGATCCATTCTGCTCCCCATCTGCCATACCTCCCTTGGCCTCCACAGCTTCATCAACAGAGATATCCAATCCTCTCTATAATCCAACACACCATTTTGTGTGACCGGGACCGGGTTACAATCTACAGTATGGTCATCGTTCGAATATCTGTGCTTCTGCAACTTCTTCACCAAAATAGAAGCTGATTCCTCGCTGAGGGAAATGCGGATATCTTTACCCACACAAACAGTCACCACATCAGGCACGGGATCCTTCAGACAAGCCACTGGATCACCCTTAAAAGAAGAACACACCCCTTCCGATCCACCCAAACGAAGTTTAGCCGACCTACCCATCTCCTCCCCTGAAGAATCATACCTAGAGGCTGAGGAAAATTCCAAACAAGTCTCAGCGATCCCTACAGAGTGTCGATCCACATCCCTGTCACCAGACAAGCAAACCGTCCCATCCCTTTCTGACGGCCCAACAATCCCAAACTCTGAGCCAACCGTAGAGATCAACCCTTCCACCAAGTCAGCCTCAACAATAGGTGAAAGCAAATGATGCCTCCCATCAACAATCTTACCCCCTTTACTATTCAACTCGCAAGAGGGAGTAGAAGCAAAGATAGAAGAAGATGCAGATTTCCGAGCATGAAAGGAACTCGACATACCTGGGCACGAATGAGAAACCTTACGGGCCACCCATTTCTGTTTGTCCTTCCTAGTCCATTTCTTACTGGGAACTATCAGCAAACTCCAAGATGTAACATCCTTCTTAATGGAGACACATTCGCCTTTCTCGTCATCACCCAAAAATCCAGATTGAAGAATCTCAAATCTGTTACCCAAGAGTCGATTCTGACAGCACGACCCATGCCGAAAGTTCTTTGAACAAGCCCCAGCCCCTTTTGACACCTTCAAACTCACCTTCACCCAATTCGCCTTCTCCTTCCTCGACCAAACACGTGAGGTCGAAACTCTCTGTGACGTAACCAAGTCAGGTTCTAGAATGCCATGGCTTTGACCTGCTTCTAAAGATGTGATGGGCTGCCCACTGTGGAAGGAAATTGAGAGATGGTTGTTTGAGCCCCATTTAACCAATCTTCCTTTATCCACTCTTGTCTTCACCTGAACCGGTCCAGAGGAAAAGAGAGACC